TCTATTGTAAATGCAGAAAGGGATTTTCGATGTAAGCATTGTTTTTATAAGCATCATCTTCTCTCCCCAAATAGAGTCCAAATTCCTTCAGTACTAGAGCTATGTAGGTATGAATAAGCATAAACAAACAACAAATATTTGACTGGGTAAGTGTCAAAAACTTCTCACTGCAAGACTGGATTTCATTATGGCATGTCATTAGGAAGTTACTTTGTTCTTACTCAATTCAGTCTATGTGAAGAGATATTTCTCTCATTTAGAAATGGGCAATTATCAGCTGTGTTCTGAAAGAGGCAGTATAAGACAGGGCTTGCCAACAAAAGCTTTGGAATGAGGAAGACATGAGTTTGAACTCAGCCCAGCCAGTTGAAACTGCCCAGTATGAATTTGAGCAAGTTATTTACCTGCCTCTGATCCTCAGTTTATTTGGGAAATGACAACTATATTCCCTATTCATTGTTTGTTTTGAGAATTAAACAGAATATTATATATAAAATGGCTAATATAGCTAGACATGGTGGCACAGTCTTGTAATCCCAGTACTCTGGGAGGCTGAGGAAAGAGGATCAAAAGTTCAAGCTTCGCCTGGCAACTTAGAGATTTAATAAGACTCTATTTTTTTTAATTTTTTAAAAATGTTTTTAATTTAGAGGAGTGTGGATTAGAGATGTAGTTCAGTTTGAAGGCACTAGGTTCAAATCCCAACACCATTTAAAAACAAACGCTAATGTAAAGCCTAGCAATAAAACCTCAATAAATTGTAGCTTGAAATCCACTTACCTTTGAAATCACAAGGTCACTCTTCAATACAACTGCATTAAAAGCATCAGTGAACTCTAAAAGTGAACAAAAATAATGTGGCCTTCATGTATTTTACAAATGTTATTGAAGTAACAGGGCAACTACAATTGCCCTTTCCATTTTCTACATAGGAAGGCTGAGAAGCACAAAGTCCAAAGGGCCTCATCAAATCTGTGAATAGAGCAAAGTTAAAATATTGCCTCTAAAGCCTATGCTAACCCCTAAGGCTAGAATTAGAGAATCTTAGAATGTTACTTCCAGAAGACAGCTCCAATCCTGTCCTTTTGTAGAAAAAACCCAAGGCCAGAAAGTTAAATGATTTGTCCAAATTACCCAGGATACTCTCTGATGTCTTCAATACAATATGTACTAATTCTAGGCCCTGTACCTCCCCTTCTTTCCACTAGTGACCTCTCCCTACTCTGTCAATGGCAGTAAAACCTGTGAAGTAATTTTAATGAAGAGAATGATCCTGTAAGCCCTCCTCTCAGTGCGACTCCTGCCTTCAAAAACTAGGCTTGACTTTTACCTCTGCCTACAAAAAGGCTTCCCATTCACTCACAAATACCCATTGATTTATTGAATGATTAATCAACACAGTTTTCTAGTCTTCCTAGAGGAATTTATTAAGTTTTAAATGAATACATACACAGCAGATTTTACTGTTAAGAACATACATTCCACACCACCACTGCAGCATCGGATAAAGAAACTTGCCCATCTAACCAAAAAGAAAAGGCTGCTAGGAAACCTTGGAATAGAAAGCTACCACAGCTCTGCTCTTCTTTACCCATGATCTGTTATCTTTAACCCTATCACTCCTCACCACTCTTCTCATTTATCTCTAGTGTCCACTAAATCTCCCCTAAGTCTTCCATCCTAGTAGATAAGAATGAACATAACTGAACAGCATTAAGTAGGGATGCGAAAGCAGAAAGATAACCTCAGCATGACCTATTTCTCGGGATTTACAGACATAAAGAAAGTCCCTACCAGTGCTGGAGGACTCCAAGGGCAGAGCAAAAGGACTAAAAAGGCAGAAAGCCTGTGCAGTGCCATTGGGAGAACTGAATCTTAGGTGTCATCAGTTCTCATTTAGAAGTTACATTTCTTCAGGACATCATAGTTCTTGCAGTTGACTAAGGTTTAATATTTGGAGTTTCTCCTAACATTCTCTGTTTCTCTGCTCTTCATCTGTTCTGCCCCCACAAAACCAGGTTTTCTTTCCTTTTATCATCCATACACCTTCCTATAATTTTGATCTGCTACATCCAGGTCAAGCTTCTAACCCAAGCCATACAGTAGAATCCTAACTGGCTTTCCTCCTCTGACATTCTTCTTTCCATTTTACCTTACATTCCACAGTCAAGGGTGATCAGCTTGCCCCAGGATGCCCAGAACTCTCCCCATTTAATACTGAAAATCTCATGTCCTGGGAAACCCCTTCATCCGAGACAAAATGAGATATCTGGAACCTACCGAAGTCAAATTAAAAATTTCTCCTAAACAATACTTCAATCATATCACTTTTCTGAGCAAAATGATCCATGATTCACATTTCTCATTAAAATAAACCTTAAAGTAAGACCCAAATTTGCACAAAGAATGCAGAAGAAAGAAAAATGGGCTGCAGTAAGAAAGCAAGTGTGCAAAGCCTGGCTTCTGTCATGGATTTGTGGACACCTTTGGTGCATCACATGATCTTACTGGAAGTGATTTTCCTTACCTGTAAAATTAAGAACCTAAGACTAGATCTCTCCTTTCAGCTCCAAAATTCTTGAATTCTACTCTTCTATGTGCTACATATTTTAGCCAAACCTGCCAGCTCTCTTCTCTGCCTCTCTGAATATTCTGAGGAATCATAAATCTCACCTTTTATGGGTGTTTTCTAATAGCACACAGCACATCCTGTCCCTAGAACTCAAAATCTTTATCTTCATGAAGCTTCTTTATAATAACTGGACTAAAATCTTTCTGCGGTTTTGTGTTCTCTTGCCAAATCCTGACTACATAGTAAATAATAGCAAGCATAACTACTGATAACTGATTTGTTGATGGATAGATAATGGAAAATCAAACCAGGGGCCTTAAGTAAGATAAAAGCAGAAATATAGGTGAATCTAGAATTACTTACACCTTCCAAAAGATTCTCCAATGCTTCCATCATTCAATAATCCACTTACCAAGGAATTTACTATACTAAGAATCTCCTATTTCAGGAAACAGTGCAGATATTTCATGAGTTCAGAGATGGAGAATAAATAGAGGACAAGATCTACCAGAATCTCTATCTCAATATCATAGGTTTTGATATGTCCCTGAACAACTTTTTAATAAAATTTAAAAGAATCAAGTGGTGACAGTTCTACAACCATCACTTTCCTAACATGACCCAAAAATTGATGACGTGTCTATCTCCCACTATTGTAAGACAAATCTCTTCCAGATTCTATATCCTAGTCAAATTACACAGACAATCCATACTTTGATAAGTTTTATAATGTGACTATATAGATACCCTTCATTGATGGAATTTGACCATTGTTCCCCATTAGCCTTAGTAAATGACACTTATTAAGGATGAACTTAGGCTGTTCTATACCTTTGGGGACCCCCACAACTGTATGCATACACACACACACACTCCCATAATTAAGCAAGGCTCCTACTTCAGCAGTGTCACCTATTCCACTGACAAACAGGTTCATGAGCAAGTGGAGGAAGTAAATAAATGGAATGGTTTGCAGAGAAAGAGGTTAATTTGGGGTGAACTGAGCTGAGCTGGGTTGGGCCCAGGATGACTCAGTCTCTACTATAGAATGGGTGTCTCCTAGGATGTCCTTGTAGGAAATTCAAACACCTATAAATAGATGAGTTTTTAGGTCTCCTGCATCCTCCCTGGCTTCTGAATCTGCTGCTCACTCCTACTCAGCAGGTAAGACATACATGAAACTGCAATGGTATTATCTGCAAAGCTCTTGCTGTAATGTACAGGGATGAGAAGGTCTGAGAATTGTGAGTGATGGCTTTGGGTATGTTTCTGCTTTATTTTCGAGGGTTTATCTCAGAATACGATTATCATAGAAATGGCCTGTATCTGAGCTTGGAAAATTCAGGTGCATTTGCTTCCATTGAATCTAGGCATCCAAAAAAAATAGGGGGTATTGTGGATAACTGGATCTCCTATAGTAAGAATATTTAACTTTTGTGCAAGTTATGCAAGAACCAAGAGCATGGAGCTTGTGAGGTGGAGGACTCTGCACCTTGGAGACTCAAAAATACTCAAATCTCATTACAATGAATTGCCACAAGGGACAATTTGTCTGGTAACATGCATTATTTGCTACTTATCCTTATAAGCATCACTTATACCTTTGGAAGCTCTGTGCTCTGTGTTAGGGCTTCAGCCTGGAAGCTTATTAAGCAAATACCTGGAATATTTATGCTCAAGAAAACATATCATTGACATACAAATCCCAAAAGATGCCAACACCCAGGATACCCAATATGAACCAAACTGACTATTGAGATATCAATTATGATATTATCACCTATGCAGTTAATTTGGCTACATATCCACTTGCTATTTTAACCTGTAACTATTTTTATACTTGCTGTTCCAAACAGGTCTTGAACAGACCATCCAGGCCAGAAGCATTTGCTGGAATTTAGCCTCTCAGAAAGCCTTCTTAGTCTACTGAGAGGGACTTCTAAACTTTTTTCTTGCCTGATGAAGGTTCATTAGAGCACTGAGACTCTTCAATGGGATCTGTTCAGAGCCCTCTCGAGCAAGCTAGTCATTGGTAGAAAATTAGGCCCTAAAATACTGGGTTCTGCCCCTACTTCTATGACAGTTATTTTTGTTCTAATATAAGTGAGAGTTTCCATCAAGCAGGTTTCCCCCAGAGCAGAAGATGGGGCACATAAAAACAACTATCATACATTTTTTTTTTTGCTTTGTTTCTTAGGAAATTGCTTCTTAGGGACCAATAGCTTTTAACCCTCACTTTAATCTCCCCATGCTGAAGCCTCCTGGTGCTTCACTGTGGGTCAAAATTAATGCACAGCTAAAAGGGGCTCTGTCATTTCTTAAATTCCTTTCTTAAACCAAAACAGGTCACTTTCTCTCTGGAAATTCTGTCTCTCCATCTTGATCCCAAATACAATCAAAATCTTGTTTCTTCTTTTAGGTTTGCCTATATTTTCCAAAATGCCTCAATTGCTGAACAGCATACTCAGTGTGATCAGAGTGTTCCAGGAATATGCCAAAGAAAATGGAGACTGTACCTCACTATGCAAAAAGGAGCTGAAGCAGCTGCTGTTGACTGAGTTTGGAGACATCCTACGGGTAAGATTCATAGACACTTGGCCCACAGTTAAGCATGATTGATTCTGACATCTATATCCAGGATTTCATGTTTTATTTTATTTAGTTATGTTCCATCCTGTAACAAAAAGAATTTCAGAAGCTCACTCCCAGAATACATATACACACACCTCCCTCATTACATTTGAACTTGCACAAGTGACAGTACAAATTTAGAGTAAGGAATAAATTTTAAGAAAAGAATCAGAGATTCATATTTTTATTTTCATGTTCAGTGCTTGCCACCCATCTTTCCATGCATTAACTTATTCAGTCATCCATTAATCATTCATTGCTTACCTACTCCATATCAGCACAATTATAGTTACTATGGATATAAGCATGAATAAGACAAGCTTCCTCTTTTTCCAAGATCTCACCATGTGGTAATTTGGAAGTAGGTAAACAAACATTTAGAATATAACGTACAGAAGAATGAAATAACTTCCTCAAATAACTCAAATTATTAAAAGCCATTATTTTAAATAAGTGTGTTTATTCCCTATTAGCATGCTCCCCTTGGTCCAGCAAGGAATGAGCTCCTGAAAACCAGTCAATTAAAAACTAGAATCAAGTATAAACCATTTTAGTTTCTCAATCAAGACAGGCCCATGTGAGTCTGAATGAATTGAGGCACAAACATTCATAGACTTCTTAGTATCCATAGAAGAAGTGGTGATTTTGCTCTTTGTTTTGTCTTCTCATAGAGACCAAAGGACCCAGAGACTGTGGAAAACATTCTGACCCATTTAGACCGAAACAGAAATGGATATGTTGACTTTCATGAATATCTTTTGTTGGTTTTCCAATTAGTCCAGGCCTGCCACCATAAGCTAGATAAGAAGTCATATAGAGATAAAACCTCACAGCAAGACAAGAGACATGAAGTAACACAAAACCGTAAGTTTCCAAGAGGCACAGACAGAGAACAGCAGCAGTCGTGTGCTGGTGAAAGACAGAATTCCCACCACAGTGAGTCTGAAAGACAAGGTCATAATGTCCAACATGATCAGTCTAAGAAACAAGATAGGGACTCCCACTATGATCATTCTGAGAGACAAGATAAAGACTTTCACTATGGTCAGCCCGAGAGACAAGATTGCGATTTCCACCATGGTCAGTTTGAGAGACAAGATAGCGACTTCTTCTATGACCATTTTGAGAAACAAAATAACAATTCCCACCATGATCATTCTGAGAAACAAGATAAAGACTTCCACTATGATCAGTCTGAGAGTCAAGATAGAGATTCCCACCATGGTCAGTCCAAGACACAAGACTTGGATTCCCACCATGACCAATCTGAGAAACAAGAAATAAGTTATAGCTCTGATCAGTCTAAAAGAAAAAGTCAAGCCTCTACCTCAGATCACAGACTGAGTCTTAAATCTAATAGTGGCCAACAAAAAGACCAAGGACATATCTTTGTCTTAAATCAGTCTGAAAATCTAGCACAGGATTCACATTATAGTTATTCAACAAAGCTTGAACAACAATCTAGCTATGACCAGTCTGGAAGACTCACACAAGGCCTTGGCTCTCATCAGACCAAACAACAGGAATCAGGAACTTATTATTCACAGTCCGGGAGGCTGGACCAGGACTCAGGCTATGACCAGAGAGACAGACAAGATTCACAATATGTCCAGACAGACAGACAAAGCCAGGGTTCTTGCTATGATCAAACAGACAAACAAGAACAGGGCTTCCACTCTGGTCAGGTAAGCAGACAAGGACAGGGTTCCCACTACGGACAAACAGACAGACAAGGACAGGATTTCCATTATGGTCAGACAGACAGACAAGGACAGACTTCTCATCATGGCCAGACAGAAAGACAAAGCCAGAAGTTTCACTATGGTCAGACAGATGGACAAGAACAGGGTTCCCATTATGGCCAAACAGAAAGACAAGGACAGGATTTCCACTATGGCCAAACAGACAGACAAAGCCAGAGTTCTCATTATGGTCAGACAGACAGACAAGGACAGATTTCCCATAATGGCCAGACAGAAAGACAAAGCCAGAGGTCTCACTATGGGCAGACAGACAGACAAGGGCAAGGTTCTCACTATGGCCAAACAGACAGACAAGGACAGAGTTCCCATTATGGTCAGACAGACAGACAAGGACAGACTTCCCATCATGGCCAGACAGAAAGACAAAGCCAGAGGTCTCACTGTGGTCAGACAGACAGACAAGGGCAAGGTTCCCATTATGGCCAAACAGACAGACAAGAACAGAGTTCCCATTATGGTCAGACAGACAGACAAGGACAGACTTCCCATCATGGCCAGACAGAAAGACAAAGCCAGAGGTCTCACTATGGTCAGACAGACAGACAAGGACAAGGTTCCCACCATGGACAGACAGACAAACAAGATCAAAGTTCCCATTACGGTCAGACAGACAGACAAGGACAGAGTTCCCATGGTGGCCAGACAGAAAGACAAAGCCAAAGATCCCACTATGGTCAGACAGACAGACAAGGACAGGGTTCCCATCGTGGACAGACAGACAGACAAGATCAAAGTTTCCATTATGGTCAGACAGACAGACAAGGACAGAGTTCCTACCATGAGCAGACAAACAGACAAGGACATAGTTACCACCATGGGAAGACAGAGAGACAAAGTCAGAATTCTCACTGTGGTCAGACAGACAGACAAGAACAGGGTTCCCACTATGGTCAGATAAGCAGACAAGATCAGGGTTCCCACCATGGTCAGACAGACAGTCACAGTCAAGGTTCCTATCATGGGCAGACAGACAGACAAGGACAGAGTTCCTACTACAGTCAGTCACAGATTACAGAAACTGAGATACAAGGACAAAATAGATACTTCAAAGAGAATGGAAAAACAAAAAGCGACTCATATGTTGACCAATCGGGAAAGTCAAGGACACCAAGTCAACAGACTCTAGAACAGGAAGTGAATCAGAACCAGACACAGGGATTCCAGTATAGGGAAAAACAACAGCATAGTCACAATGCATGCAAGCCAGAGGAGGATCATCAATATCACCAACACAAACTCTTAGCACAAATCCAACAAGAAAGGCCACTGTATCACAAAGGAAGTGAGAGGCAACTAGGTAGTAGTGAACAGAGTCACACACAGGTCCAAACCAGACAGAGCGAGGACAAGGGACAAACCCATCAAGCAGAAGAAGAGCAGGGTCATCAAAACTGGAGTGAACACAGCTATCAGGGTCAGGAAAGTGCATGGGAGGCACAGGATAGGCAAACCCATGAACAGGACCATCCAAAAAAGGCCAGACAAACCTATGAAGATGAGCAAAACCACCAGAGTCAAGACAAGCAAACCTGGGAAGAAGATCAACATCATCATCAACAGGATAGACATATCAATGAAGATGAACAGAACCATAGGCAAACCCACATAAAGGGTTATAATCATCATCAACAGCAGGATGGTCAAACGCATGAGGAAAAATACAGGTATCAAGGGTCTCAGAATCAAAGAAGACAACAGAGTGTAGGTCACCCTACCAAGGCAGCTAATGTTCCTCCCAATCCCTTCTATGGCTATGTGAAAAAGCAGAAATCACATCAGTACTAAGCTGTGTGAGCATCCAAGCTAAGAAACATGAAATCAAAGAATAAACCTAGACATTAAGTTCATCTTTACTTCTGTATGAAATGTTATAAGTGTTTGTCTTCCCTCTACTATTTGTCTACCTTCAAGAATGCTCCTGAGGATTAGTATTCTCTTTTGGTGCAATTCAGTTCTTTGAGCAACAGTTAAGGGGCTTTCTGGTTGGATGTAATATAAGTAACAATTATGTGATTAATTATTTAATTTTGATCATTTTGGGAATTAAAATCATTCTTGGTTTGCTCTCTGTACAGGTTAATCGTGATTGGGTTATTGAAAGGTAGAACACATCTCCTTAAAATTCAAAAACAGGAAAGGTACTTTGAAGATTTACATTTTAACCAAACAAAGGAAACTTGATTTTTAGTGAGTTTTGGCTCATGTAGATAAAACATAAGGGATTGCAAGCTGCATATTCTAGACCAGAATGCAACACACTGAGAGGCTGCTAAGGAAGCCAGGGACCACAGAGTTCATCTCTGCTCTTGCCATCTATCTTGTTTAGTCTCTGGTCCCTCACCAGAGAGAGTGACTATCCAGTGACCAACTATTATAAGATTGGCAGGATCCATTCCATTACAATGCCTCTCTAATTTCCAATCACATAAAATAGAAAGTACATGTCATCTCTATATAGATCCCCAAGGGCCAAAATTGTCAAGTCATAGCTCCCCTGTTCTGAAAACCTTTTGCAGGAAAATCAACATGCAAAACAATGGAATTATATTAAAGCACCAAATAAATGATTGTTGAACAGTGACTTTGGTGGCTCTTTTCCATCACTTGGAATTATGCTATCTTCATTTTGTGGGTCATTTTCCTAGAATAATACCTCATTTTATAACCTCTAAAATCTCTTTGTTTTCTGAGTTCCTGGGCACTGACAAAAATAATAATCGTCATGAAACAAAACACTACATAGTCAAAATGGACTTTCTCTAAATATAATTTTCAGCTGTCTCCCTCACCAAAGAATCACACATTGGTGCTTCAGTTTATGAGCTTAATTTGTTCTATGATTTTGGAAAATAATTGTGGAAATGTTTTGACCATGTTTGTGTTTGTAGGGGAAAGATGACCACAGCTGTGTTTGTCAACCAATATAGAGTTTACAAACAAGAACAAAATTTTGGCAAACGCTTTTGTTTGTGAACCAAGTTGCTTGCAAACAAAAGCATTTGGTAACTGAGGCACCACTATATTTGACCCTAGTCAATCCTTTACACCTCATTAAATTATCATTATCTTGCCTGCTCTTCATTCTCGATACCACTTAAATATCTTTGCACCTCTGATCTCCTTTGCCTTAATTTTCCTTCTCCTCATATATAAGAATAAAGTTCATGCTCTTTATCATAGTGCACAGGTACCCTGCTATCTGACCTAAATATCTGACCAACCCAGCACAGCCACAATGAGAAGCTGCTCTTACAACATTCAACATACTACTAAAGCCAAGGATTTGAACTTTTCTTAGTTCACCATGATTTCTCATGAATTCCTATCTTTGAATGTACCATCCTATCAGCCTGGAACTCCTCAGCTATTTATTGTCTGACAGATTCACACCAGTGACTTTGCAATGAACTCTAGGCCTTTGACCTTGACCTAGTGCTGCATCCTTGACCCATCTTTTCATGGCTTCCATCTTCTTGGGCTAAGCAGCTACTGAGTTCTCCATATCTTCACTATACAGACAACCATTCTGGATTCTTCTACCTCTGGTGCCACAGAAAGCCACTGTAGATTCTCCTGCCTCTGATCTTATATTTTAAAATTCTTCTGGGCAACTCATTCAGGACTCCTCCTGTCTCTCAGGAGCTATAATTATTCCACTTTCCTGTTCCCCATTCTTGTTCCCCATTTCTTTTCCCCAATAAATTTTCCTACTGTTAGCCTAAAACTAAAATAAAATAAAATAATTCTGGGTTTCTAGGAAGATGGCAGAATGGTGAGAAGCAAAGAAAGAGCTTGTCTGATATTTGGAATCCTGACACTGGGATATAGCAACATGAAGAAGAGGGAAGTGAGGCAAAGATCTGAAGTGAGAATCAGAGTTCATTGGAAGAGTGAAGAAAGGGACCCCAACACAAAAGAGGGAATAGGCAAATGGTGCTTTTTTCCTGAGCCTTAGGTTATGGCATGGGAGGGGTAGCTTGAACCTGCAGAGACATGATGACTATTGGCAACTCCAGAATCCTCCACAGAGAAATACAACAGTGGAAAAGAGTAGTAGGTGCTGCAGACTGCAAAGGACAGTGAGTTACTCAAGTTCAGACATACCACCCCAGGGAAGGGTGATTGACCAGTAGCCATTTTGGAAAGAGGCTAGCAGAAGTCAGAGCACAGCTGCAGGTTGGCTCCATCTAGTGGATTCAAGTGTCAGGGTGAGTCACAACTGAGTTCAAGTTGGCAGTAAGTCAAGGAGTTGAATTCAAGCTGGAAGGAGGCAGTTGGAGTGTTGTGGACTCAAAGACTCAGGTCACAGACTCACAACCAGGAACCCCAAGCAGTCTGAGCTTCAGCAGAACCAAAGGCCTGGGTTTCCTGAGATTATTCACCATTACAACAATTCTACTGCTGGTTTGCTAGGATCAGTCAACATAGATCTGGGTTCTGTCTGCCACCTCTGTTAAGCAGTAACAACAAAAACATACCCTGAAGTGCTTATTGCTTTTCCCTGCTTTTCTTCCTTTCTTTGCTTTTTGTATTCTTTTAAAAGTTTTGATCTTTTTTTTCTTTACTGTTCTTGTCTTCATATGCATAAGAACATTATTTCTAGTTTTTTGTTTCTTCCTTCTTTGTTTTCTGCTGGTCTTCCCCAGTCCCCAAAGCTTACATAGTCTATGTCATCCAGTCTTGCTTCTAATCCCTTTCCCTTCTTCAATTTCTCTATTTATTTCCCCAAACTGCTTAAATTTTCTTCCTTAAGAGTAAAATCACCATATGGAAGACATATTTACTGCAAATAATTTTCTGGTTTGTTTTAGATTTGGCTTTATAAATACAAATCCTGTTCATATGGTTAAAAGTGACAAATTAATAGTTACCACAATTTGTCATTTTCTAGGGTATGTTAATGCTATTGTTATGACTGACTGTGAAATTTCTGCCTTTGTGTCCTGGCTTGTGTTTCTTTGGCACTGACTTATAGCTTTATTTATGACCCTTGTGCAGTCTCAGTCTTGGAACATAAGGAAGAATGACCGATTAGAACAGTTAGGTCCCAACTGAGACAAACACTATAAACAAGGAGATCTGGTGACCTCTGACAACCTGAAGACATTGTAATAGCAAGAAATAAGGATTGACTTATATCAATACTCCTAGGCTAGTCAGCCTAGGAAGAGTATAGGACTCATCCAACAGGGCCTGCAAGAGGAATTCAGGTGACTGGCCCTCCTCTTCTTTGTGGGACCCAGAAATTGGGTAAACATCAACCACACAGTAAGACCCTAAAAATCACAGTAAAACCCTAAGCTATACACTGACAGTTGAGACTAGTGGGATTGAAAGACCAAATGTTAGCCTGAGGTGAAAATGACAAAATGAAAAAGCAAATTGTAGTCCATCAGAAACAAGTATAGGAAACATTGAAATAAAGGACTTTAACAGTCATACAGCTGAAATCTCTGAAAAGATAGCAAGTGAAATAAAGAAACAAATCCATGAGGTTATAGAGAAAATCAAATTAGAAATAGTCTCTCTTGTAAAGACAGAAATGACAACTTTAGTAAAGGAGTAGCTCAACATAGCTAGAGAAGACATGGATTTAGAAAAAAGTACAGGAGAATGGGAAAATGATGAAAACCTTAAATGAATAATACAGAAAAAGATTATAATGCATGAAACAAATTCAAAGACAATTCCAAGAAATAAAAACTCTATTGAAAGCTGGCAAAACCATTTAAATGAAGCTAGGGATAGAATTTCAGACCTCGAGGACAGTATCACAGCTAGCAATCATGAAAGGATAGAATTTTTAAAAATAGCAAAGTAGCAATTGTGGAACTTAAGCAGCTTAACAAGAAAACAATTTGCCTCCCTTCCTCGTAAGCACCCGCAGTGCAAGCCAGGAGGAGAACCAGTCAGCATTTGCCAAGATCTGGCCATGGTAGAACTTAGGCAGCTGAGTAAGAAAGCAATTTCCCTCCCTTCCTCGTAAGTCCCCCTGGCGCAAGCCAGGAAGAGAATCAGTTAGTGTCTCCCATGATCCAGCCATGGCAGAACTTAGGCAGCTGAAGAAAAAAGCAATTTGCCTCCCTTTCTGGTAAGCATCCGTGGCACAACCCAGGAAGAGAACCAGTCAGAATCTCCCATGAGCCTACCAGCACATAGGCTGAGAATCAAACATTCCATCTCCCCATTAGCAACTGGAGCAGAGGTCTGAGCATCTCTTGGGAGGATGACTGCATGCAATACAGCAAATATGAGGGTTCCTTCTATCTTCAGTTTGAAGGCAAATGTTATTTTCACTGCTTTTGCTTTGTTCTGATTGGTTTGCTCTATTCAATACTCTCCTTCAATTGGTTTTATAATGTTCTGTTTTGGTATGATTTTGCTATACCTAATTGAATGGACAACTACTGTGAAGATAACAAAATATACTATGGTTACCTATTACTGTTATCCTGGTATCCTGCTGTAAAGTTCTGTACCAATTTCACTGCATTGTCTCAATTGGCTTTGTTCTATCTTGTTCTGTTGTATTTTACTACCTTCAAAATAAAATTTAAAAAATAACAAAGGAGCATGAAATGACACTTCAGCAACTTCAAGATGATGTCAAAAGAAATAATATAAGATCAAAAGGCATCGGAAGTCAATGCAAATGACATTGGTAAACTATTTACAGAAGTAATAGCAGAAAACTTCCCATTTGGGGAAAGAATCTGATGTACAGAGAAGTGAGGCATATAGAATGCCAAACAGTCACAATAAGCATAAACCTATACCCAGGCATATAATAATTAAGATCTCAGAAATACAGCATAAAAACAAAATGCTAAAAGCTGTTAGAGAAAAGAAACAACTCACCTATCAAGGAAAGCCCATTAGAATCACAGCAGACTTTTCAGCACAAACCCTCAAGTCAAGATGAACTTGGAGTGAGGTATTTAAAGCCCTGAAAGAAAACAACTTTCAATCCAGATTGAGGTACTCTACAAAACTTTATTTCAATTTAATGGAGAAATAAGATACTTCTATGCAAATAACAATTAAAGAAATTCATGCTCACCCAATCAACACTAGAAAGACTACTACTGAAAGACATACTAAACAGAGATAAAAACAACCATGATTTCCAGAGCAACAACAGAAAGAAACCAAGAAAGGGCAAGCAATTAAACAAGGAAGAAAAGCAGAAAACAAACAAGGAAGAAAAGCAGGAAAATAACATGACAAGGTTAAGCCATTACATATCACTTATATCCATCAATGTAAATGGCCTCAATTCACTGATTAAAAGAAACAGACTGACAGAATGGATCAAGAAACAGGATCCAACAATATGCTGTATACAAAAAGCACATCTGACTCAAATGAAAACTCATACATTAAAAGTCAAAAGATGCAAAACCGTACTCCAGGGAACAGGAACCCAAAGGCAACTATTCTGTTTGCAGATAATGAGAACTTCAACCCAAAAATGATCAAAAGAGATAAAGAAAGTCACTGCATATTCATTAGTGGAAAAATTCAAGAGGAATAACTAACAATTATAAATATGTATGCACCAAGTACAGGAGCACCCAACTATATAAGACAAATACTAATGGACATGAAAAACCAAATAAATAAGAACATGATTTTAATAGGGGACCTTAATACCCCATTGTCACAGAGAGATAGATC